TTTGAAGTCTGAAGTTTCTTTGTACTTGTAACTTGCTGGACACATGCCTCTTTGTGTTGTTTTGATTAGACCAATGCTATTTAATTATTGGGGTAGATAAACTGCCTCTATTAATGGTCAACCTTATTATTTCAGTTTAAACCAGTTATATTCTTTGTTTTCTATTGTTTTTGTCCGCGGATGCTTGTTAAGCTCAGTGTGCAGATGTTGAACACAGACTGTTCTTCTGACTCCAAATATAGCTGAATCACTTTATTAGCCTGTATCTGTCACTTTTGCAGGTAATTTATCTTATTCTTGCTTGATGACTTGATGCTTCTTTCACATGCAGATATTTCCTTTTCTGTAGTATAATTTTTTAATTTCCCTTTTATTTATGATGTTGGAGAACAACAATCTAATAGTCAGTTTCAACTTTGAGCATTACCATTGATTATTTGAATGTTTAGCATTCTTGACACTTTGATATTGAAGCTTTCCCTTGTGAATGCCCTGAGTTGAAAATCGCATAGCATGCAACTATAATTTCTGTTGGTACAGATAATCATAAGTGTTTTTGAGTATCCTACATTAATTGCAAATTGCAATCACTATATACCTGGTAACTAATATATAGTAATACATAAACTCCGAAAACTTTTAAACAGTGATGTCACGTTCTCAGTAGAGACTGACCTAAAATGACTTCGATTGGCATGCATGGAACATTTATTTGTTGTTGGAAGTGTGCGGGTGAAATCTCTGACAATAGTATGAATTGTTGAACAGTCCTGAATCTGGATAAGTTGGAGCTTTAGCAAGGAAGAGTGGGAATTGGCAGAGGAACTAAAATTTGCCAAGACGGAGCTCTGCGTTAGCATTTATTTATTACACTAGCTTGACTTACTCTGCAATAATAGTAGATCTGGTGGTGGTATTTAGGTTGTTTTTTTTTTCTTCGGTGTGTTGCTGTATTAACATCTGAACGATCTTTGCCTCTTATTTAAAAAAGAAAAAGAAAGAAAGCATATAAAAGGAAACTCACAGATTATCTCGAATATCATTGTGTGCCTTTGTGGGGGGACAACACTGGTTGCTCTTATATTACTCAAAGATAATAGAATCAGTTAATCATGCAGGTGATTCTTCAAGTCTTGTTTCATTATTCTTTATTTGTAGGTACTCTGTATACCATCATGTTCACTTCCCCAGTTAATTTTGTGTGGGTAACTATAGGCATTAGTTTGTTGCAATTTTTCCATTGATGAATGATTATCCTGCTTCATGTTACATCAATACTGCATTTCTAGTGTTAACTATTGTCACCTAGTGTGTTGAAACTTTGAAACCATTGAAGCAGACTTGTGGTACCTATATTTTTTCAACTGCTCCATTGATAACCAAATATGTTTAACATTTGAGATAAGCCTGATACCTGCCTTGCTAAAGCTTGCTGCTATATGCATTTCGATGAGAAGCTTAGATCAACATTGGCTTACTCATGAACAGGAGAGACATCAGTACAATTCTTTAGTAGCTTTGTTTATGTGGATGATTTTGACATAATAGGTGTTTTCTTTTTTCTGCTGTAGCTGATACCCAATAAATTGATATTATTGTTTTAGGATCTCCACCCATTTCGTGCCTGTTATTAGGTTGTGGTTGCACAATCTGATTTGATTTATTTTCTTGTCTATGTCTCTTTTCATGTATTTAATTCCAATTTGTCTTTATCTTCCATGCTCTCTGGTTTGGACGGTGTTTTGAATTCTGGCATCGGGCAGTTTCCCTTTCTCAGCAGTTCTTGAAAGGACCAAGACCAACATCCCAGATCCTTAAGGTCTCTTTGATGATGTCAGGTGAGTAGGTGACTGCGATTCACGCCGAATGTATTTCGGCTTCTTTATTTCAGGCTCAAGACAATACTTTATGGTTAAATGGATTGATAAGTTGGCTGTAGGCATATATGATCTACAATCTTGGGTATGATTGTGAAAGCCTGTAGGTAGCATGTGTTAATTCCCTTATCGGAGTCACTGAGAGATGGGGCTGAAATTGGTACACCATGCATTTTTTTTCCTTTTTCAAAGCCAACTATGGAGCAGGGAATGGCATCTATCTGATCTCCAGAGTGTGGAGGAGGCCAATAATGAGCTAGCAGCGCCATCCCATTCCCACCCCTTGCTGGCTCGCTCCAGCGGCAGCGACGCCAGCACAACATTCCGTCCGTCTGTCTGAACGATCAGCTCCTTTCTAGCCCCTTCTCAACTTCTTGGTCTCCAATCAGCTCCTATATGGCCGTCACTACAGCACATTGTCAAAATTGGACTGGGCGGAGAGTGTAATCGTCGTCAGTCATCACGCAGCCAGGTCTCCAGGACAGGAACACTGGAACTATGACGGTATGGCCTACTAATCCGCCCACCTTTTGGTCTGTCTGCTCATGTTTCCTCCATTCACTCCCTATCTCCTGTCAAGCTTGTGTAATATAGATACTCAGCCTGTTCGTTTGGCTGTGGCTCGTCGTAAACGATCGTAAATTTATAGCTGTGGCTCGTTTGGGTGTGTGGGCTTGTTTCATCTAACAATTAGATCCCACACGTTGTTGTCTCATCCTACTTTTTGGTGTCTCCGCGCCAAACAAAAACAGGTCGGTCCAGTCCCTCAGCCAAACACAAAATAGATTCGTCCCGTCTCTGAAATCAGAGATAGGGTCATCACATTCCTCCTTGTCTCTCAACCAAATATACCCAGGACCGATAGTAGCTATTATTACTGATTGGGATTGAGTCGGGGCCATTCTTACCTCCCACGAGTCGTCCGGTGGAAAACTATTTTTGAGTTGGGCAAAAGAACTTGGAATCGTCGACCTCTTCCATCAAGGTTGAGATGAATCGACGTTGGTGGATGGTGTGGTGTCAAAACACGTTATGTAGAATTCCGAAAACCAGCGACTTACTTAGGCAAGCGCTCGACAAGTACTAGGTGGAAATGATGAATATCACGAGGCAGCAGCTGCATTTCATGGCAGTTGACCTTCACAACAAGAGGGCCTTCGGGCAGAGCATGGCGACCCATAGGAATACAATGACCCATAGTGTCGTCATCGGACTTAGATCCACTTAAGTTCCTCTCGCGAGTCGCGGCGTAACTTTCTTGCCCACATCCGACATCCAAACACCACCCGACGGTAAAAAAAAGTTGCTTCACCTTCCCACGCTGAGCCACTGCAGCCCATTCACGCCATGCCCATCGCCGAAGTTCTGCACCATCGCCGCCATCCGTGCCTTCCCGGCGGGGGCGGTAGTTGTGTTGGCCATGAGAAGGGGGAGTCCCGCGTTGAGTCACCATGGAGGAGCTCTCCGACACCCTGCCGCCTTGGACGAGTGGGAGGTCCTCGGCGTCGTGGAGGGGATGGGGGCAGGCATGCTGTCGTCTTTGGTTTTTTACGGTGTACCCATGTGCTTGCTCTAGTTGCCAGTGGCGGATCTAGGATCTCAATCATGAGGTATGGACTAAGTGATGCAATTCGCTAATGACGATAAAACTGTTAGGTGTATGAATCTTAGGATACAATTCACCAACATTCATCCGCGAATATATACAAAGGTAGTCATTGCCAACGTCTTGATAAGCATATTAGTTGCTTGCTGATTCAGAGTGAAAAAAAAATCTTTTGTGCTTTATTGAGTAGTCCATAAAAAAGCTAAATCATTGTTCCTCTTAATGTCATGACACTCTACAAAAAAAACTAATTATTTACCAAGTAATCTACAAACAATTTTTGTTCCAAAACCTTGGCTGATTATTAAACATGATCATGACTCAAACTTCACAAATTAAGACTACTAGCAAACGTGCCCGTGCGTTGCAACGATCCAATACATATATATCTTAAAAAGCTCCTCTACTCATATAGGACATAGGAAATTGACAAGGCACGAAAACACTCCATACTTCCATTTGCTACGGTTATTACTGTCTTTATAGTTATGTAATTGTGTAAATATACAGTTTATTCATGGAATTTATAGTTAAAAAGAAAAGTAGATGTCTTTTTATATAAAATCACCTAACACAATAGTCTATGTGTTGACCGCTATGCATTTTACATGAAGTATACATTGGTGTTCGTTTAAAACTGTTGTTAGCTTATCGTCCATCAATGCTCATTAGTGCACCAGCATTGTCAAACTCTCCACAGTGGTTTGGTGCTGAAAATATTGTTACAAGCTGGCGTTTTGCAAAAAAAGTTCATACCCATCCTCCACAACCTGTGAAGTTAGATTCAGTTAAAGAGAAGTCAATGGTAAATAAGGCAGTGCACAACAAAAATAGTAATTCACAACACTGAGCTCAACAGATATAGCAATCTAGATGTTTCAGTTATTTCCCTAAAACATATCAGAACAAAAGGAAGTTTAATCTTCATATTTCAGAAGAAGGGCTAATATGTAAAGAGTTTTAGGTTGACCTTAAGCATCCAAGCTGACACAGTAAAATATCAGCAATAGTTTGACAGCAAGTATTAACCATAACCAGTTCAAGGTCGATAGCCTCAAACAAAGTAAATAGTGCAAATATTCAGAACCTTAGCTTATATATTGTCATACAAATGAAAAGCTGACCCTACAAAAAGACACATACACATTTTTGTTTACTCAACAGGAGGGATAGGCCCTGTTCCCTTTTAAAAAATGGTAGGTAACAGTGGAAATATGTTGATACTGTGAAACAGTATACTAATGTAGTTTCATTTAACAAAATACAGTCCAATATAGACCGGAAGCAATAGCCATCTTGAGAAGAAAGCACCAAATTACACGATCATACCATCTTAGATAAGGATTTCAATTTTTTTTTATATTTTGATTGACAGGTTGGTGGCCATTTATTTTCAGCATGATAGTCATTACTTATTGGAATAATATCAACTAAAAATGGTCACACAAACATGAAGAACTGTTCTTACTTACAAGAAAGGTATATAAGATAATGAATATCTGGTCTACAGATCAAATCTAGATCATGTTTATGAAGAACTCAGCAACTATGTCAGCTCCAAAGGTGTAGGAAACACCCCTGTCATTCTCACCCCACCCATCAATCTCTTTATCAGGGTCCAACCATAGCAAATCACAAAGGAGACCAATGTCAGGAACGTCCACAGGACGAGAAATATTACGTATATAGTCCATGTTCTTAAACTCAGGAGACAACCCCCATGCATGCAAAAGATCTTATCATCAATAAGCCAGCCACAGGGAGGCAGCTAAAGCACTCAGTGAATATATATCTTCCAGATATGAACATTGAATCGAAGACAGGGCGGATCGGTGATGCGAAGGGACCTTGTGGCACATGGGCACAGACAAAGGAGCCAGCGTGCGGACGGTGGAAGCACGCGGCGCTGCGGCGGCTGGGGGAAGCGGCAGTGCGTGCGGACGGAGGGAAGCTGGGGCGGCGGCGCGTGCGGACGGAGGGAAGCCGGGGCGGCGGCGTGTGCGGACAGCGGATGGAGGGAGTACGAGCGGTGGTTTGGACGGATCAGAGAGAAGCAAGTTGTGGGCCGAACGCGAGTCAGTGCAGGTTTGGGCCAAACGCGAGTCCGAGCAGGTTTGGGCCAAAACGCCACTGGTGAATGGACCGGACGAAAATCAGGGTGGAGAGAAATTTACCTTTTTATAATATTATTATTAGGTATAGATAATGATTGGGGGTGATAAATGTGTGCTTAGCTAAGGGTGAGAGGAGGCAAAAAAATCAATTCTTCGTAGTACTTCAATAGAAAAAAGGATGATAATATTATATGTCAATTGAGTACTTAAAGACTACTATATGCAGCAACACATCTAATGGAACGATAATAAAAGGATGATAATAATAGTAATTAATAAATACTACTAGTATACAAAAGATAAGTTTAGCAAGAACTAAATTAAAAGATAACTAGTATAATTTTATTTATTTATATCATCTACACTTAAAAATTTTCTAAAAACATCCTCACATATTATCTATTTAAATGCCCAGTTGGCCCCTCCCACCCTGCTATCACCCAAGTCATTGTGGAACCAATAAATCTCCAAGCTCTCCCAAGAACCGAGAGATCTTTTGATTTGACCATGATGAGGGCCCTCATTTCCATGCTCATCGTCGCCGCCGCCGCAGTGGTCGGCCTGTGCTCCGTCGCTCCCGCTGCATCAGCGCGCGAGGAGCCGCCGGTGCCGCAGATCGTCGGCGGGTGGAAGCCCATCAAGAACGTGAACGACCCCCACATCCAAGAGCTCGGCCGCTGGGCGGTTTCGGAGCACGTCAAGCAGGCCAGCGACGGGCTGGTCTTCAGCAAGGTGGTGAGCGGCGAGGAGCAGATCGTCGCCGGGACGAACTACAAGCTTGTCATTCAGGCGACCAGGGGCGGCTCCGGGAAGAGCGCGACGTACGGAGCGGTGGTGTACGAGAAGCTTGACAAGACGCGGCAGCTGCTATCGTTTAATCCGGCGAACTGATTTAAGGCGTCGCTGGAACGACGGTTGTTCTAGCCTTCTAGGATTTCAGATTAGAGTTCTGCAAGTACCGCGGTGTAATGTAACAAACGAAATGATGTATTGCTCTTGTCATATCGTGGGATACTAATAAATAAGCTTCAATAAAACTTGGTGTCTTGGTCTATTTTTATCTGTTTTTACTTTTTAGATTAGATGCTAAATTAAAGGAAATGACGAATTCAGACAGCTTAAAAATAAGAAAGAAAAAGGAGGAAACATTCAAGGGTTGAAATCAAGATTTACTATACAAGGTGCCTAGCAATGATACTAAGGTATGGATTATATTTATATTATGATAATCGGATAAAAGAATCTCTAGGTGTCAACAAGGGCGGATCTCCCCATCTGTGGCTGGGGGGCTCTAGCCCCGGTCCAGTCCAAAATAAAAGCGACTATTAGTCTTAATTTTTCTTCCTCAACAACCAATAAAAACTCTGGTCTAGAAGCTCCAGACCATGAACTAATGTCATTACTTATTTTCTTTATTGCTTCAATTATACTCGCTCCGTTCACCAAAGAATATAATTATGGGATCCCTATCGGTTAAACTATTCGATCAAATTTATAGTAAATAGTTTTAGCACTTATATCTCTAAATAAATTTATTATGAAAATACATTCTATAAATAAACTAATAATACTTATTTTGTATCATAAATATTAGTACATTTTTATATAAGTTTAGTCAAAGTTCAAACTGTTTGATTGATCGAAAGGCGAGAATTACATTCTTTTGTGGACGGAGAGAGTATCATCTAGTTTATCGTTAATTAGTTCAAACTTGGTGCCTTCAATTATGTAGCTCTAGATCTAGAAATCCTAGAGATCTACCGATACCCAGCTCTAGAAAATCCATAAACTTACTAGAGCTAGAGCTCTGCTAAATATGGCTATACTTATATCTATATCTATCTATCTATATATATCTATATCTACCTAATTATTAATCAATATCTACATCGATACTTATAATAATATTAAAGAGCGAAGGGATTCTTTCGTCTTTTTTTTTTACTTCCCAAAGTGCTCTCATGTCTCTCATGATCCTTTTTGTTGTAATCAAGACTTACTGTACAAGGTGCTAGCAATGATATTAGGTTATGTTTGGATCAGATTTAAGTTATAGTAATTATACAAAACAATCTTTAGGAGATCTAAACAAGGTTTAATTTGATTGTAATAATCCAACCAACTTATTTTTGTAATCCTATAATCCGCCTCAAGCTTACCAAGGGGAGATTATTATAGGTGCTCAAAAGACCAAATCCGATAACCCAAGGATAAAAACAACTTAGATCATTCTAATTCATAACCCAGACACTATAAGCCCATTTGCAATACAGATTCTATCATTCCAAATGAGTAAACCCACAACTAATAAAAAAGGAGTAATGTCGTCAAATTTTCGTTCTACTAGGCACTAGTGCCCTCCCTCTTACTGTGTGCAGGGCTGGACATGAGCATCTGCTTATCGATGCTTGGCAGCGCTCCTCTTGTGTGTTGCCGTTGGCTGTTTCCTCTTTGGAGCCGGGTAGCAATTCATGAAGAAATTTTAAGACAAGATAACAGGAGGATTTAAGACAAGACAACATCAACGACGGCGGATCCTCCCTGACCCAGGCGCAGGTCCGCCGAGAAGGCCGGCCTGAGAAAAGAATAACGCCTGGGACGTCCGGGAAGCCGGAGTGCACCTTTATTTATCTCCCACGGGCTGCAGATGCTGATGCCAGAGTTGGCCCTCGTCGCCGAAGTCGGAGTGCACACGCAGACGCCAAACTATGTTGCATAAGAGTAAATCCTGTTTTTGGATCCTCTATAGTGGCCTGAACTCCAAACTATGTTGCACGTCTGGGTTAGGTGTGTTAAGTACGTAGTATAAGCAAAACTAATCTCGAATGAGACTAAGTCCTGCTCGTTTGGTTGATAAGCCATGGCTAAAAATACTGTTGTTGATTTATTGTGAGAGAAAAATACTGTTCGTTAGCTGAAAAAGTACGGCTTATAAGTCAAGCGAACTGGGCGTATATGTTTCACACTAACAGCAAAGTTGTTGTGCACCCTTCTTAACAAAACAAAAAAGTTGCTGTGCACCATGCGCCCACCAACCGCCCGCGCCCGGATGCTGTGTTGGGCTAATAGTTCGTAATGTTATACCAACCCAACCGCTTGAGTTCAAAAGATTGACTCAGCATACGACGTTGATGTCAGATTTGGATTCCAGCCTACTGGAAAAAAAAAGCTTACTAGCATGCATTTTCTGACAAATACGTAGTAGAGAAATGTGCTTGAAATGCACATCGATAGCACCCATCTCTATGTGACACTGACACAGACATTGATGTCTCGTAGCCATAGAGTGTGACTAGCCGGCACTGCTAATGCCCGCACATCCGAACGCCGGTGGCTACAGTCGGTTTGTGCCCTCAGTTTTGCACGTCCATGCGTGGGCCCACACCGTACGGACGTCGCTCGACCGCTCCTGCATCACCCGCGCCGCCCGAACGTCGTTCGCATGGGACCGCTCGCATCTCCTCCCGCATCCCACACGCATCCCATGTGCAAACCCGATCTACTTTTGAAATATCCAGATGCAACACTTGCAACATACAATAAAGACAGATGAAACACTTGAAACATACATCCGAAACACTTATTAAAACAAATTGAAAACCATGGCAAACATACGCAACATCCAGATAAAACGCTTGCAACATATGTGTAAAACATGTAACATCTAGATAAAAACACTTGCAATATATGTATCAAAAACAGATGAAACACCGGGACAGACTCTTGCAACATACGGACACAACCATTGCAACATATGCAACATCTCGATCTACTTTTACAACATCGTGTGAAACACTTTAAACATACCTCTAAAACATCTGAAACATTTAAAATGTACATTTGCAACATGCATCATATAATGGTGCGGCCTCCTCCGCCGTCTGCATCGAGGCGCCGCAACCGTAGGAGATGAGGCCGGATGGGCCTCTGCACCAGGGACTGGCACTTCTCCTTGCGCTGGCAGTGTCGTTGGGCAAGCCAGGTATATTTGGCCATGCAGCCCGAGCCCGTCGGCCCGGCCCAAGGCCCATTTTTTTGGCCCGGCCCAAGCCATAAGGCGAGCGGGCCCGGACTGGCATGGCCCGGAGGAGCAGGGCGTGCCTAGGCCTTACCCCAGGCATGTGGGTCGGCACGGCACGACCCGCTCCTCAACCAGAGGCCCGCTGGCAGCCCGACCTGCCAACCCCACGCAGCCGCGCCCCCAGCTCACCTCCCCGGCTCCCCCTAACCCTATCTCATTTCCCCGTATCCCCAGTCACCGTCCCCCTTTCCCACACGCGCCGCGACCATCATCGCTACTCTCGCCTTCGACTCGCATCTCTTCTCTCCCTCGCTCCCTCTCTTTGTTCGCCGGCCAGGTGCGGCACCGTAGGCTCCCCTACGTGCGTCGCACTCTCGCTCCTCCCCACGTCCCGCTTGGCTCGCTCCTCCGTCCTTCCTTCTCCACTCCGCCGGTGAGGTACGCCGTCGTGGGCTCGGGGCTCCTCACCTCCGCTCGCCGGTCGGGATCCAGATCCGACGACCGGCGTGCCGCCTGCCCCTCTGTGGAGTGCCCCTACGGCCCTACCTCCTCTTGCTGC